GAGAGATTAGTTGGCTCACCTTTACAAAGAGATTACATACTTTTTATAAAGTAGAATATAGAAGCAGGATGTCTTCGGAGAGAACAAAAGGAAAACAGGGGCCAGCAGGAAGCAAGGAAAACAGGTGCCAGCAGGAAGCTTCATGGGTAAAGGAGGCAGTCAGGAGAAGACAGGGTATGCAAGCTGTTCTTGTGAGGAAGGCAGAAGATTATGGACCACGTTCTCTTCTTGGCTCTCGCACGAAGATCTTGAGCAAGTTACTTGTCTGCCATGTGCATTTCCTCACAACATAGCTTAATTCATGTTTGTTATCATCTTGGGGTTAATGAATAGAAGACAAACACCAGCAGTGGAACTTATTGTGATCATTTTTTAAAAAATTACCCTGGACCTTCACCAAATCCACCATTTTTCTATATTCTGCAAAGGACATATGTACAGATCTAGATGTCTGTTAGATCTTTAACTTCTGTGATGTGTTCCATCTATGCTATTAATACTGTCTTTGCTACTGTCTATTGAAAAAAATGGGAGGGACTGCTCATTTTATATTTCTAATAAGAATTGGGAGGGGTTTTCATATTTGGAATGTGATAAAATAACATCTAAATATGCTGAATTTGCTGATCTTATCATCCATGCTGATGAAGGTGTGTTGCTGATTTCTGTATCATATATCTGAAATGACAGATTATGAAATGACTGAAATGACTAAATTATGCACCTGCTAGAATACTACACAAAAATGAGGTGAATTATTTAAAAACTGGATTTTATTGTTGCATATTATATCCATACACCAAAAAATAAAGTGCATTCATTCTGTCATTTCAGCATAAGTAGGAAGTTCTTTTCTGCTTATTTCTTGGCCTTACAGGGAATTATATTTATTGCCCTAACATTTCAAATTCATCATGCAATTGTGCAGGTTTCAGAGATCTGTTATTCATATGCTTCAGGTTGCAGTCGTAGGCCCTGGTCACACTGTGCATTGGACTTACATAGTAGGTGAACTCTTCATAAGTTTTTAGATGGGCTTCTGTATTTTTGGCATAATTTGTTTCTACCACTGCTTTCATTAGGATTGTGGCAAGCATTTTGAAGACAGCATGTTAACAGAATCAAAAGTTTTAAAATATTCTGAAGTTTCTTATTTGTCCAAAAATAAGCAAAGTATTGTCTTGTAGCACTCTAACTCATCTGACATTGAAAAGGTAAAATATTACTAATAAATTGTATGAGAGAGATGGCTAACTGTTACGCATAGGCAAGTGCACAATATTCCTTAAAGGACTAGGCAAGTGAAACATTAATGGACACTTAAAACTTAATGGACACTTCAAAGACTGAAGCCTGTGGCGGATCAGATACACTAAGGTAGCTTGCCTGAAGCGTGAAGACTACTCCAGTGACACTGGATATTACCTCATGGAACTATGCATGTCAGTGGAATGAAAGAAGCAGAAAACTGAAATACGGGAAGAAGGCAACAATGTCCTAGAGAGAGACAAAAAAATCAGCAACCCTCAGAAAAAGGTAGTACTGAGTAAGTAGTGAATTGGAATAGTGAACAATGATGCTGCTTCCTTTTGTTGATTTCTGTTGTGTTCGGTACAACAGGACTTCCTCATATGCTTCCCTGTGAATAACCAGAATTGCATCAAGGAGGTCCATCATCAACATCTCATGATCTTCAGTGATTTGTACTGCCAAAAGCATGTCACTTTAATTTGATCTTATTTTGTAGCTATTACACTTTGGTGCAAGCTTCTTGTATATAAATGAGACAGTCTACGAAAGAGAGCTGTTGTCATTTGACAAAGTAGGAGTCATATTAAACTGGTATAGATTATTCCAAAGGAATGCTGAAATGCCAAATGGCTTTAATAAGAAGGGACCTTGAGAATCTATTAATGCAGATGTATGACATACTCTGTTTTTTGACGTCTCCAAATAAACATAAAATATTAACAGCTAATAACTATATTTAACTTTCAAAAGCTTTGTGGATATAGTTTTTTACAGCACTCCAAACTGATGACTAAATCCAGTGTAGCTTTTTTTCTCTTTTTTATTCTCTTGAATATGTGGGCCACCTCTTATGTAAATATAAAGTGAACTGTTGAACAATCTAAAGCAACTCCACTGAAGCAGATAGAGTTGTACTTGCTTTCATCAGTAGTCTGCCCTGGAACGTTGGAAGCCATTTAACATGTCAGTCAGCTCTGCAAACACCCACAGCGTTATGTGTGTGAAGCTCTTATTCAATGCTTCTATTTGTGGAATACACTTACAATAGGAAGATATAATAGTATTCTGGTAACTGGCACATTGTCAATTATGATAACTGCTTAATCAGATTTTCTTGTAAACGCACCATGCAATTCTTAAGTCAGTCTATAAAAAAAAATACACTTGCTTTTGGAAAGGAGGCTACCTTTAAAAACATAAACATACAGAGACTTTTAGTCATAAAGCTGAGTTTGGCTTATCTTTGATTTCACCTCTGTTCTGTTTCAGTAACAAAATATTATTATGGAAGTAACACATTGCTACTACTTTATATGTTAAAAAATAAAAAAACCCCAAAGTTAAATTTACTCAGACATCATAATCTTGATGGAGTTAGTCAGGTTGGGTTTTGGGGGGTTTTTTGGTTATGGGATTTTTTTTCCCCTCAGAAAAAAGCTTAGTGTCTAAGTTATGAAATGAAGCAGCATATTCCATTTTAAAGTATTTTCAATTTATTATTGTTACTGTTTAGCATATGTGAAAGACCATTTAAGTATCATCTTGTTGGATATACAATGCTGAATGCACATTTTCAAATATGTGATTTCAGCCAATCCTAGAATTGAGTCCATTACATGTTTTCTACTTTATCCTCAGCATTACACGAACTAAAACAATGCAGAGAAGAGCATAAACAAATTAATTTGTAACAGGTGGAATGAAAGTGCATTTTGACAATTGCAGAGTTACCATGTTGTGGTTATACAATCTTTGACCCTTCCATATTTCTATGTGGCAGCTGAGGGTGATTTAAAACTTTCCTGGATAAAAATTGTACACATGAGAAAAAAGTAAAGTTTTATATTTTATAAATGGTGCTTAACACCTGTGTTACAGCTTATCAGCAAAAAAAATGTCGTTCCTTATACTATGAAAGCCTCTTGTGTGCTTGCAACTTCTTCTGAGTCTGAATGATAAAAGGTTGATACTATGAACGCATTATCTTGTGTTTGCTGATTTTAGAATCATAGAATGGTTTGGGTTGGAAGGCACCTCAAAGTTCATCCCTCCTGCCACGGGCAGGGACACCTTCCACTAGACCAGGTTGCTCAAAGCCCCATCCAGCCTGACCTTCAACACTTCCAGGGATGGGGTATCCGCAGCTTCTCTGGGCAACCTGTTCCAGTACCTCACCACTGTCATAGTGAAGAATTTCTCCCTTAGATCTAATCTAAATCGACCCTCTTTCAGTTTAAAGCCATTACCCCTTGTCCTATGACTACATACCCTTGTAAAAGGGTTAAGGTTTATGACATTTGCCAGTTTTCAGTATTGGATGTATCCAACAGGTCTAAGACAGACCTTTCTGTCTTCCTTTTGTGCTTATACAACTTCCATGTATATACTCTTTGAGAGTCTTCTATTTAGTATGTTTATTCTTGCAAAATCATTCTGATGATGGGTAGCCTGTAGACATCTTGAATAACACAAATCTCTGACTTGACCCTGTATGTAATTCTTGTTTATCTGAACCACAGCCATACATTTTAGCCATCTGGTCTTTGTTTAAAGACTTCAAGTGACGGAGAATCTACTTGTAACCCTCAATAAATTGTTTAAATGGTTAATAAATCCGAGTTTAAAACACCATGCTTTTATTCCAATTTCTAAATTCAGAGCCCACCCACTGAGTAACAATCAGTTAAGAGTCATGCTATGAGCAGGTATCTCCCTCCTTGCAAAAGTCATTAGCTGTAGTAAGATTCCCAGTAAAAATGACTTGCTGAATGATTTTGAATTTTTGAATGATTCTTAGTGTAAGCTACCCATGAGAAATTTATTGCAATTACTAAATATTTGAAATTCAGAATATGAAGTTAATTAGTTGATGTAATGTAATTAGTAAAGAGAAATACTGCCAGGTAAACAGATTCCAAATAATACACCAGAAATTATTCAGAGGAAGTGTGCAATAAGTATTAGTCTCCAAAAGGAAGCTGATGGTGTGAATATTCATACTGTGGAATGTAAAACTCCTTTTACTGCTTTTGTTCAATATTTCCTTAAGAGCTCACTTCTTCCAGAAGCACTCCTTTAAGCATACTCATTTATTGAACTTTTTGGGAAGAGCCAACATAGAAGGAGGACAAACACTCAAAACAAATTGCGTTTTAAAACATTCTTTGATGTATTCATCGGGCTCTAAAAAGCTTATATAGAAAGTGATTTTGTCAAATCAAGTCACTGAGACCATGTGCTTCTGCCGTCCAATCTTGCTAAAAAATACTGACTTACATCAAACAAGATTCTTTGTCCTTTTTCTGTTGTTCCCTTTGGCTTTGTCTGTACTATGTTACTTTGGGTTTGGTTTTTTTTTTTTTAGCAGATTTTATTTTATCACCTCTAATGTGTAACTTCTAGTCTGAGTGATTATATTTTATTTCTAAATCAGTTGAGTCAGTTATGCTCTCTGTATACCTCTGAAGCCTAAGAGATTTAGGCTCTGGTTCAGGAAAGCACTGGAGTATATGTCTGAATACGATGCTGAAAGCAATTTCCTGGATTGGAGCAGCGAAAGGGAATGGATGATCCTTTGTTATTTTTGGTCTATTTTTATTTCAGAAGTGTTGTGTTAGGCACAGAATTACCGTCTTCTCCCTCTTATGTTGCAATTTAGTCTTGATAACTGCAACTTCTCAGTAACATTCCTGCCCTGTGACTCATAGCAGATGTAAGCCTCAACTCTACAGAATTTAATAGCAAAAACAATCGCAGCCTGGGAAGGGCTCTGGAATTCTTTGCATCAGCTTAAGAAGATTTAACAACTTTGAGTTCTGTCCAGAGGGTAAAGGTAAACATTTTAGGTACCTGTGAGGGAAGAAGGAAGAATTTGGGGTAATTGCTATAGTTACGGTTTAAAAGTAATATGTTTTTGTAAGGCCACGTGACTGGTGCAATGTTGCTAATGGTGTATGAATGTTTTAGCAGGATCTAGCTATTTTGCTGCGATATCTATTAGTTAATAAACCTCATATTCAAATGTGTAGTTTCTAAATTTATAATAGTGTATGGCTGTATGAACAAGGCTGCTTTTTAAGACTAAAAGTAGATCAAATAATGAATTATTGTCCATTTTTTAGATGAGGAGAATGGGGCAATTTTTGTAATACTACCTAATTAAAGCAAAATTTGTGCATGAGTTTAACCATGAAACCAGTTTGAATTTTAAGAAAGCAAACAAAAGTCTTTCAAGTCATTATCTGTCCTTTTGGCAGATTCTCTCTTATTATTATTGTATTTATTAGCAGTGCAATTCTTATTGACACTGTACAAAGAGAAATAGGCATCTGAATTCCATCTAGTTTGCTGTCTCCAGAATTCAAGAGCAAGAAAACAGGCTGGCAGTTCAAAATTTTCATAGCATAGAGTTGCTCTAATGTCATAAGATCTATTTAGTAACTTGTTATTGAAAGACTTGGAAAAACATCAGATTTAGGGGAAATTTGAACATAGAACTGATTGTCTGAGTAGCCTGTAAAGAAAGCCCAGGCACAGAGAAAGAGAAAGGTATCTTTCTAGAATTTTTATGCCATAACCTTGGAGAAATCTTTCTGCACAGCTGTGCAAGTGCACATTCTAGGTGTAATCTTTGAATAGTAAATGAGTAATCTCATATGGATAAAATTTCAAGGTTTTAAAGGAGTTGCCCTTAAAGTTCAATTTTATTAAAACAGAAAGTGACTCTTTTTTTTCAGCTAACTGTTAAGGCCTTGTGTTTTCAACTTGAAAATATTACACTTAAGTTTTTCTCACTCTGTCATGATTTGTGATAATTAGTCCACATGTCTACTGTCTGAGATTAAGACTTTCCTGGAAAGGAATCTCCCCTGCACAAATTTGGTTTTTTGATTTTGTTAAACTGACACGGGTGTTATAATAAAAGCCTTGGAAGTCTCTCAGCACTTACTAACTCTTTGGATTCACTAGCATCAACAACACAAAAATATTTGCTAGGTTATGCAATTGTTTTTGTCTGTGACATGGATTAAGATTTGTAATTTTTTTTGCAGTGTTTTGGAGTGAATGTTTTTATTGCATTGTGTGTGAACGTTTATCAGTGGTTGTATTCTTTCCCTACATTTTTAATTATTTTACCCTCCATGTACATTTCTGGATAATGCATTTTAAATAGCTATATAACAACCAGGGTAAATATTTAAATGAATGGAGAAATTAGTTTAAGAAACTGACTTTCAAAGCAGTCTTCCTAGAGCAAGATTTTAAGCTTCCCTTGAGCAGAACTTTAGCTTTATGTATTAGAGGACGGATGTACTTTTTCAGAGAACTGTTACTAATACAACCTTTTCTGAAACTTTTTGTAGGAAAGTAGAAAACTAAGTAAACTGTTACCCACATTAATTCCAAGACTGGACCTGTTGATTCAGTTAGTGTATGCAAAGCGCTTTGAACATATGTGGGGTTTGACCCTATTTACCACTTTTCTTATCACTGTAGGGTTGACCACTCAGTGAATCTCATGTCACTGCAACTGTGGGATCAGATAAACTACGGGAGTTTATACCTGCTGAGAAATTGCCTCAAAGGTACAAGGTACTGCCCCTTCCAGGATCAGCACTGCTTGCTGTCCTCTGCCTTGTCTGGGTCTCCCTGCTGGGCAGTGGGAGAAGCAGAGAAGCACCGTTAGGTCAGCCATTTCCCTTCACAGCTTCAGTTTTCATGTCTCTTCCTAGTCTTCTTGACCTTTCTCCTTTTTTGGGAGGACAACAGCACAAAGATTTTGGTCTCCCAACCCATGTGCCTACTGCAGGTCCACTTTATGGTTTTGTTTCTGTGTCCTGCCTGTTTCAATGTCTCCCCTGTTTCTGACTGACAGGTCTGCCAAGCAGAGCTCTCGGTTTCTCCCTCTTTATACACCTCAATTCTTTTATGATCATAGTGAGCTCACACTGTGACTACAGGATCAGTAATCCATCTTGGGTTTACTGTCAACTTTCTTTCTTAAAAATTAAACTCCAGGATTAAAATGTCTTGAGCAACGTATTTACTTCATCATATTTAGAATTTTATTTATGAGACTATTCCTATACTTTGGTATGTCTTTTGAGCATATCTTAGTTCAGTGCTAAAGCTGATACACACAAAGTTGTTTTCCAAGTGCAACCCTTATGAAGTTCCCCACAACAGGAACGTGCTTTAGAAAGAGACACCCTTTAAATAGAAAGGTGACTTCATCTGAAGGTGACAAACCAAACCAACTGCACACACTCTACACTCCTCAGCTCTTCGTTCCTTTTGTGCAGGTTGCTCATAGTAGCTCACACATGCTGTAAGGGACGTGATCTGCCTTGATTGTGCCTTACAGTCTTCTATTTTTTTTTTTTACTAACATAAATTTCTCTGAACAGTATGCAAGATTTACTTGATAGTGCTTTACAAAAAAAAAAGAATACTGTAGTTGTAAAGCTGTGCAACCCTTTTAAGACTGATTGTGGTATTCAGGCATTCACAGTCATTGCAATCATGATAGAACAGTTTGAATATTAAGACTAATGTGAGGGAGAACTGTGTGCTTTTATAATGAAAATAACAGAGAATGAAGCAGAACAGTTAAATATGAATCTTCCAGTGAAAAAATATAGTCCCTTCTCTCCTAGAAAACATATTTAAGATATGCATGGAGTCGGGAAAGCAATTATCAGAGACAGATAATCTGTGGGTTGTCCAGACAGCTAACATACTCTTTGGTCACTCCTCTCCCACAACAGACAGTGTCATTGCAACAGATGGCAACAGCTGCTTTCAAAACACTAGTGGCTACAATAGCCATAGTTACTACTGTTGTACGGTGAAAGTGCATGTTTCATCATGGCAGAAACCTGTGAAATCTAAATTAGTAACAGAATTCAATGCCAGGCAATTCTTGCAGATTCTGTGTCCCCCCTGCCTTTTTTTTTAAGCCTGAAATACATAGAATTCACCACTTCAAACAGTAGCAGAACTTGTTGCATTGAATTATGGTAAAGTTTCTAAATCAGATGGTATAACATTTATTTGGTTAGAATGAAGAACAACTTACAGCTTAGAAATCAGAAATTTTATGGCATAGAAATAACTTAGCCTAAGATCTTTCAGTTCACCCTTTCTACTCAAGAAACATTTTATAGGTAATTTTTAATGGATTCCTTTGGAATCGTTAGAGAAAGACATCAGCTTAGTATAGTGCTTCGCAGCTTAATGGTAGATGTTGTGTATGTCCAAAATGCTCAGAAAACCCTTCTGAGCTGTCTGTAACATGAGTCAGTGGGTACAGAGTACCCTCAACACCTTGTGTCTGCATCACTCCAGTGCAGGAAGTGGTATAATGAGCTTTATACAGATATACTTGGGCCTCACAACTCTATGCTTTCAAATATGATGCTTTCAAACCAGCAAAACTCAGAACTAAAAATAAAAAAAAAAAAAGTTGCTTACTTAAGATAACTGTAATTTAAAAAAGCATCGTAAGTATTTTAGAGGTAGGTGTTGAAAATCTGAAATTTGGTTGGGCTGTGATTTGTGTTCTTGTATGAGGTTTTCAGAGACTGGTGAAAATAAAGTTGGACTTCTCCAATTTTACAAGAACTTAAAAACATACTTCACATAATCACCTTGCTTATCTTTGTACAGTAAAAATCACAGTCTGCCAAAGTTCCACTGGTGTTTTATATTAATTCCTGTAGAAACATGAGTGGAAGTTTCCATAAAGTTGGTATTTCAATAAGCACATGCCGACATTGAATCGTTAATCTCTATTATAGGTCTTATGCTTTGTCTAACCACAAATGTTTTAACATGTAGTTAGCTGATTTAGTTTAATAAGTAGAAAAAGCAGAGTGGACACATATTTTGGTTTAAACAGGTGTTAGCATATACTAAATGAAAATATTTTAAGTTAAAAAAAGAGAAACATTCCTCAGTTGAAAGCTTGCAGCAGTTTAACTAATCAATTTAGAATTGCTTCTTGTATAATCTACGTAAATATTTTAGTAATTGGAGGCCTTGGTTTCTCATCTGTGAGCTGAAAAGCACACATCTACCTTACAGAAAATTGTGAAGTTGTATCAGCTAATGTCTGCAAGGCAGAGAGATAGAATGGGGATTGTTTTGGCATATGAAATAATTTTCATATAAAATAATGGGATGTAAAATGCTATGGGTCATACAGTACAAAATATGCATAGCTGTCAGTTGAAAGATGTCATCCTTGTCACCGTTAGAATAAAAGCTGATAACTTACACATTTTTCCCAAAAATTACTCTATAACAGTAAAATGATTTCCATCCTCTCCTGGCACACAGAAGTTGCACAAATCTCCTTTAGTTCAAAGACAGCTAGCCCAATTCAGATTTTAATTACTTGAATACAATAGAGAGCTTTGTCCCAACTTTAAAGGGCCAACAAGGAATATTGCCCTGCTTTTCAGAGCATTTTAAAATGTTATTTTGCTTTTGTCTTGTTTCACAATAAAATGAGTGGGTTTGAATCTTGAATAGCTGTCCTAAAATACATGGAAAGCTCTGATACAAAGTGGCCTAAAAGGATAAACTCTGTTTTTACTGGATTTTGGAGTTGTACTTGATCAGGCTATTTCAGACATTTGTAATGAAGCCTAAATATACATTATATTTCCAATATGTAACAAAATGATTATAGGTTAAATAGATTATTTAGAATAAAATTTAAGATGTCAGGTATAAATATTTAGTTTTAATGTTTAATTTAACTAGTATTTCGTTTGTTCCTCTATTTCACAGCTTCCAAAGGATGAAGATTTTGATAATGATTGATTTTGTCCTTGCAGCTAGCTTGATGGATGCCATTGGCTGCTCTGTAAGTCCTAGTAATTAAATTTGCCTATAGAGTTTCTTCTAAATATTACATACTTTGTCCTCCGTAGTGCTTACAATGTATCTCAGCTGCCTGGGGTGGCAGAACCTTTGATGGAAAAGATTAGAATTCAGAACAAAACTGAAAGACTGGGGAAATAACCTCAAAAGATGTTCAGTGGGGACAAGTTTCCGATAAGCAAAGAGGCAACAAACGCATAAATATACAATGGAAGATAAAAGACTGGGCAATAGCACTGAAGAAAGTAATCCAGTCAGTTTGTTACTGGATCCAACATGAAATAGGAGGCAATAGAATATCTTTGCTAAAAAAGGTATTGTATGGTGCATTAACAGGCACATTGTACAGAAGGCACACAAGACAGTTATACTACCATTCAGGGGTAATGCTATCTCAGAATAACACCTTTAGTGTTGAGCAGCATACTTACAGGAAGGCAAAACCCAGGATCTCCTAAAGCGGTGGCTGCAGCAGTAGTATTCCTGGTCATTGACACTCAGGATGAAAAATGTTGCTTTTCTACCTTGTCCATTTGCCACACAACTTTTTCTCAAATAAGATCCACAGCTTCATATTCCTCCTTGTTCCCATGTTACTATGTTATAATTCACACGCAGAAGCAATGATCAAAGCTCCTTCATTTCTAGCTCCCAAAACCTTCTGCTATGTATTCTGACTCTCCTAACAAAAACCCTAAAACACACAAACGCTTACTCCACTGTTTAAAATACTTATAACCTCACCAGTCCCGTACTGCCTGTCTTGGCTGTCCTTCCTAGTTTGATATTCAGGTCCTAACTAGCAGGGACCTGAGAGACTGAATTGTTGATTCACAATTGCCTAGGTGGAAGTGGTTGCTGAATTTACAACTAGGTGAACATCATTGTTTGTGGCTTACATAATCTTATGGAAGCCTTTTGTTCAGGTAAGTAGCTCTGTAGGGGCAGAATAGGAAGCGCCTGCCTCTGTAATCACTTCTGCTCAGTGGAAAAAAAAAAAGTACTAATTTTTATAGAAGCCTACTGAGAAAAAGGCATTAGAATGAAATGCCTTTGCTTTCTTTTGATTTTTCATTTGGAATATTATGGGCTTTGGCCGACCCCATGACTAAAAACTGGAAACATTCTGAAATTTATCTCTAAGTTTTCACATTTTAATCTCATTAAAACACTAATCTTATTAGAGATTTTCTGGAGCTCATTTAAATTAAAAAAATATAGGAAATAGCACCTCAAGTCAAAATTTTTTATTTTTATAGTCTTCTTCAAGTAGTCTAAGTTATAGAATCAATTTTAATGGAAGGTCACTAGCTGCTAAATAATCCACACAATAATAAAATACTGATTGTGAATGCACATTAATTACAGCAGCTGGTTAAATATGGGACCACATGTCCAAGAGCAGAGCTGTCAGCAGTTGTTAGATAATTGCTTCTCAATGTGTAGTACAAACAGTTGCTTCACTGAAACAGACAGAACAGGTTATGTTCAGTCTGGTTTCAGTCAGTGGACACTACTGTTCGCTGCAGACAGACACAATCAAATTCACATTTTTTTAGTATTTCAATATTGTAATAGTTTAACTTTGGTCCATATGTAATGAAAAGAATAGCAGTATGTTACACCTGCTGACTCTTATAACCCTAGGTTACATTTTGCTTCTATACTACTGTAGCTGTGCACTGGTTTAACTCCAATGATTTTAAAAGAGTTATCCTGTGGAAAAGTGTAGTAGTACATTAAAAGAACAGTCTGGTAACCTGCAGATCTAAAAGCCACGTTGATCCACCTTGAAGTTACACAGCTAACTTGTGATTGTCCCATGGGAAAAATAGGTGTGGAATTCCAAATATGAGAATTGTGGTTTTGCTGTTTGGCAGCAAAATGTAATGAGATTTGTTGGGTGTTGACAGAAAGTGATGTCAATGAGGAGGCTGGAGTCAGGAAGAGAAAGCAAAATATCAGATACCAGTACTTTTCATACATAGGTTACTTTCAAAACTCCATTTCTGCTCAGTCATTTCTTTCTTATGGTGTAGTTATTCAGTATGGCTGGTGATTTCTTGACTGTCACTTACTATTTACCAGCCCTGTGGGCTTAAATCCTTTTCATCAGGAAATTGCTATGTGTAATGTAAATATGTTAATGTTCACCCCATAATGACTGTATTATCTGTAAAGCAGATGAGAATCAGCTCAGTGTTAGTTTTTCATTTTCATGAAGTAATTCGCAATTTTGAAGTAAACAAAAAGAAAAGATCAATTTAAAATGCAAACTTAAGAATAATATTTAGAGACGTGGCCTGTTGCAGACTTGTGTTTAATTTGATTTAAAGGAAAGGACCTTTTATGGTGGTGTATGAAGTAGTGTCATACTGAATTTAGATACCAAGTTTATCTAAGTTTATCAAGAAATAATATTTCTTGAGAAGTTCTGTAGTTTTACTATGGAATTTAATCGCAGTAGGAGAATGGCTTTTGGCAGTATGAATAGGTGAAGTGATAGATGCATTTTCACTACACCTGAAAGAAACACACTTAGCTGCCTGTAGCTGCCTCTCCTTAAATGTGCAGACTCCTACTCTATCCAGAACAGAAAGTAGCTTTTCATGGCTCAGACCTTGCCACCTGTTAAAGAGACTACCCACCTGAAGCCTTGCCTGTGAAATTGCAAGGGCCTGGCGACAACGGCCACCATTTCCAGGACCGCGCAGGTCTTTCCTAAGGCATTTTATCGTGTTCTCCAAGTTGCAAGTACTGAGTTAAGACTGATACAGGCTAACCTTCTCAATAAACAAATGCTGCAGTAAAACTGGTAAGTGTGGCATGGTGGCTTCTTTATCGCTCTTAACTTAATATGATTAGGCTTAATATTTGGTCTGACTGTTAACATGGGGTTTTTGACAGCTTTACTTCTGTAGTTAGCATTAGGTCATCAGGGTGAGCCTGGAAGTATTTTTCTAAATTATTTTTTCACTCTTTCTCAACCCACCTATGCACCTCTCCAGTTCTCCGTAATTTTCTGTATGCACTCAGGACTAGTCTGAGAATTTGCAGAGACCTGTCAAGGAAGCCTCTTTGGAATTTCCCAATTCAGCTCAGCTTTTGTGAAGGGTTTATATGAAGCTGCAGATACAAGTTGAGACAACCACCTTGGAAAGACTGCATAATAGTGCATCCTTTCTTTGTAATATGCAACAGGTCACACATTAACCAGTGCTTATGGTCAAATAACATCCCACTAAGCCACCATAGCAAGTTTGTCTCTGTATATGCATGTATTTTAAGTATTTTCTTCTCTCATTTCTGCTAGAAGAAAAGAAGGCTATGCTAGGGATCTCATATAGCTATCAACAACTGGAAAAGATTTTCAAGGGAGTATTCTTAAATAAGATGGGACTCTAGGGATATTAGGTCATTGGCTGCTTTGGGTTTTATTCTAAAGGTTTTAGTGTTTGGTAAACATGCCTCTCACTTTACAGCTCCTCCTTGTGGTCAAGCATCTTAATGGCTTCTCAGGACCTGGTAGCAAGCAGGCAGCTGGAGTCTGCAGGCACACCTGCTGTCCAAGCAGCCGGACGTGGGCAGCCCAAACCCAGAGAGGCAGCTCAACTTTTTCCTCTCGAACAGGTCACTGACAAACTGCCTAGTCCTGCCACTTGTACATTGCCCGTTCTTTTATTCCACCGTGTATGTTGGGTTGCTGCTAAGTATGAATTAAATCAAGCATGTGATACACTGCAGAAATTCTTAAAGCAGAGGCCTATATTCAGGATTGCTCTGCAGAGTCAGCATGGCTGATCATCAAACTTTTCAGTGTGACTAAAACTTGCAGGGAAATGGAACATGATGGCTAGGAACCATTTTACTGAACTCATGGACATAGACACTTTTATCTGCAAATACTCTCTTGAAATGTCTCTAGTTCATTTGTCTATTTGTTGAAAGTTAATTGCATCCTCTCTAGTGAAAAAGCAATGGGGCCTGGACATCTGTGACGTTTATTTCTATCAAAAATAACAGGTCCTAGTCATGACACGATTTATATAGATGTTCCTTCACAGTAGTAGAAGTTCCTCTGCTTTTTAACTAGTACCACAAATTAATTATGAAAAAAATCTGCATGTAGTAAAGTCGTAAAATACAGATTCTAATTAATACTGTCAGTTTAATTCACAAAGTCTATTCTTGGAGTTGTGGTGAATGGTACTGCAGGGCAGTCAGCCTAACCAGAGCTGTGTTTGTGATGCATAGAAACTTACAAAATGGTATCACCTTTTCAGATAGTAGAAAAAAAAAATCACTGCAGCAAGAAAGTCACAAGAAAGATTTTGGTGGGAGTGTTCATGGGAAACAGGTGAAGCCTGAGCCTGATACAAATAAAAGTATGCAGATGCCACTGGAGGTGCACATCAGGATGCTACTTCGGATCTCTCTATAGTTCAGTGTGATAGGGCAGTGTTCTAAGATATCAGCTCTTCCATATGGATGGCAGATGTTACAGGTCTGCATCCTTGGCTTATGTAAATAATATTGCCCTATGAATAAGGTTGCACCAATGTAGAAGTACTGCATATTTCATCTTGCATATTAAGTTTCCAAAAGGTTGCCCTCTGATTTTGCTTTAACGGTGCTAGTTGTGCTCTCATGCAAGCACAATAGCTACTAAACTCTGTTTGCTCATATAAAGTTGCAGACACAATGTTACTGATGCAAAACCTCATGTCACATTTGTAAAATGTATCATAAAACCCCAAAGGCTTTTTTCCCCATGCTGAAATCAAATTTGTTTACTATCTATTTGAAACAGTACAGGCTGATTTAATTTAAGCTCCCTAGACTGGGTTCTGTTTACTTTGGCTATTTTACCGTAGTCATTAATCTAAAACCAATTATTTATTGCTCTGTGTACATTCAGCATGTCAGAATTTGGAACAGTTTTTCCAGCTCTCTTGTCATGTATCTGTATTCACACCAGGGTGAAATGAGTGTCAGGTATCACCATATCAGAATCGCCACATTTCTCACCCACTCTGCATGGCAAAATTAAGTGTACAAGTCACAGCACAATATTGACTCTAAGTTTTTAACTTTTCTTTTTCATGCATATTTGCAGCTTCTTAGGGACTATTTATTTCAGCATGCCAAAAAATGAGCTTGAAACTTTACAATATTTTTGCTGGCAATGTTAAGGCTCTTATGATAAGAAGTGTGTAATCTCAAAGCATTTGAAAAATGAATCATGAAGCTGAAAACATATTAGTGTGGACTGTATTTCTTTAAAACTCTGGAATTTTAGAACCTTCACAATGTTAGTAGCAGGCCTCACTGGATCGTAAATCTCTGTACATGGCAAATGATAGATAATAAGCAATCTTTATGATAGGGTCTGTACTATAGTGGTTTTCCCTAAAGTCCCCCCTGCATGTTTGCAGTGAGAGCTGGTAGTTATAGCCACTAAAAAGAAGGTCTCTTTGCAAAGCAGGTATATGCTTGGACATGCTGTAATATATGAAATAATTTTAAATAGAGGTGGCAACTGAGGTGGAAGTCAACATTGTAGGAAATTGTGACCAAAATGTTTTATTCAAGTTAAATTTTATTTATGGTTTGTTTGGTTGTTTTTTTGTGTCACGTGTTAAACATGACAAAAAATTGTTGATTTTACAATAAGATATGTTTTCCTCTCTAGGATCTACAGAACTGTTTTCAAGAGCAGATACGACTTCAGGGCCAGGTGAGGCTTCTGGAACATCGTGTGAAACAGCAGCAGTTAAAAATTGTACAGCATTTAGAGAAGAAAGAGATTCAGTACAGTGACAGAGGAGATGAAAACAGTGTCATTGACTTGGGAGGAAAAAGACAGTATTCAGGTTAGAAATGAAGCTATTCTTTTCATTTCCATTCATTGTAATGGTACCCAGAAGCTTTAGCACAATTGGGCCCATTGACTTATTGTTTTAAAAGCTCATAGAAAATTGTTTGTTTAAAACACAGTGTGCAGCTTTTACCTAGGCCTGCTGCCTCAGGGAAAAATTGTTAATGTCACACGGTATAAATCAAATCCAGATTGAAGCGGTTTATTGATTTATGAATAACATATAATTAAAAAACAATCAGTGAACAATAAATTCAGAACAAATATCAGCAATACAACAGATAAAAGCCAATAATAGACATTTACAAAATGTTAATAAGCAGTTACAGATTTCTAAACACCATTCTTTGACTAATCTCAAAAAGTTCTAACCCACAGAGTCAGTTCACATTCACACATTTGCAGGGTCGTGTGGGTTACAAGCACATGCCGACTCTGTTCCAATCTGTAAAGTCCCTGGGACATCCATATTTACACACATAAGCCTGGCATAATGACATCTGCATCTCACTTTAATAATATTCTGTATGTTGCACTATTTTGACTGAGTTAGGTTCAGCTCAGGACATCACAGCTTCTAAAATACTGGTTTTAAGTTGTTTTTGTAATCTCACCAGCATTCTGGTGGTGATCTGGTCCCTTTGCGATGGGAGAAGGCTGAGTGTGTTAGCCTGTAGTAGCTGGAGTGAGGGCCAAACTCTTAAAATAATAAAACACCATCCAAACCAATAGTTGGATTGAAAATACAATTTGGGGGTCTGATTCTTGGGTGGTGTTCGTTTCTAGTTGTCCAGTGCTAGAGAGTCTAAACTTTTATAATTTTTAATAGCATTGTTTGAATATACTTGTAGTGTTTATGCTGCTGGAAGGAATCATAACATATAGCAAGGCATCAAATATAATAAAGCACCATTAAAATGAAATTAAAAGCAGTTGTAAGTCTGACTTTAAATTTTAGCCGTATATTTATGTATGTATTCAGCATCCTGGCATACTTTTTTTTATTATTATGGCTGACTCATTTGTTACTGAAAAGATTATTAAAACCACATTTAGCTGAAAGGTGTTTGTCCTTTCTTAGCATATGCCTCAGTTTATTTTCTTAAAATGTGATTCTAAATAAGAGATCTAAGTTGTTACGGTTTCTGGTGAATTTTTGTTTTTCCATTATTTTTTCACTTTCCTTATAGCTTGGAAAATGCTTTTCCCTGTTGATACCGCATTATTTCATTCAAACTGCTGTAGCATTTTACTGTCAACAGGGCTGGATAATTTGGGGTTAGATAGTGAGGGAGAAATTCCACACTATATACACCTGCTAAAAATTAAAATATGCTTAAATGTTTTGCTAGCCTACTAAGAAAATAATGGACAATAAAAGCTATTTTCTATAAGTCAATCAAACATTCTCTAGAAAGGCAACTTAGCTGTTATTTAAAGCATGTTTTCTATTAGAGTTTATTCAAATCCTCTCATAGCTATTTCTTTTCAGTATAAAGTGTTTATTTTCTTTGTCTAATCTTCACTGACACTTTCACTGAGAAGAAATGCAATAGTTCAGAAAGTTCCAAACTGGCCTGGAAGTTCAGCCAACATGTTCATAAATGTTTCAGGGAAAATCTTAATCAGCCCTACCTTCGCCAGAAAAAACAGAAATGTTGAAAATTATACATCTTCCCTGTATGCCTGTTTGATGGTAGATTACATGTAAACAAAGAACTCCTTTCATTTCTTAACTCCTAGAGGAAAAAAGATAAGATTGTACAATTGCATTGCTATTATATTTTCATAAGCTCTGAATTTTCTCATTGCTGTAAATGCTGATTAGTCATTAACACCAATGGAGACCAGACTGTAAATGGTATCAAGCCAAAGTGGTATCATTTTACACATACAATGCACTTTCTGGAGGTAGTCTTCTATATATTTTTGCTTCTGTTTGGTACAAGGACTCTGTGGACTTTCTGGACATAGAAGTACATGTTTGTCTTTAAAGGTTACTGTGTGGTTTTTATGTAGAGAAGTTATATGATTGTAACAGGATTCTAATGTGGATTGTATCATTGTAAATTAAAAGGGACACCACTTAAACCAGCGGAATTATTTTGCTAGTCAAATGAAAACAAAAATGGTAGTATTTTATAGTGGAAAAAAGATTCTTTTAAAGAAATGTCAAAATAATTACAGCTCAATAAAGTTTTAAAGCAACAAATACAAGAAAATGCCCCAAAGTCATAAAAATGTGTTTGCAGAGGTATTTCCTTTGTATTAGCCTGGTTCATATGTGACTCTTAGATGACATGACTTGATTTCTGTTACTGACTTTATTTCTGATTTTGCCAGTAAGTACAGGACTAAAAAAAACTGTGTCCAATGAATGTTTTGTGAACAGATTGTGCAGAAATCTACAATGACGGCCATAACCAAAGTGGATTTTATAAGATGAAACCTATCCAGAGTCCTACTGAATTCCTTGCCTTCTGTGACATGTCTGAAGGGGGTGGTTGGACTGTTTTTCAGAGACGTTCTGATGGCAGCCAGAATTTTGATAGGTAGGTACTAGACTTAGTCATTAAAATAGGAAACAAAGTGGTGAAACATTAAACCAGATGGAGCTAAGTTAAATCTTAGTTTTAGAATTATATGAATATGTTGTTATCTCAGATAAAAGGGAGGAATTGTTATTCTGTGGGACAGCCTCCAGATGAGGTACCACTTCTGGCTCTGTCTTCTGGGAGACATCTCTTCTACTCTTTTTCTGACAGCTTGTGCATTTTATATGAGGACACTTCAACGTCAAATGCATGAACAATTGTTGGAGCAAGAACTCTTAATGACAAGTAAAGGACTACCTTGTCTTTTGCAAATAGTAAAAATCTAAAAAAGTATAAATGTAAGCAATCTGCTTGAACTGAAATACCATCAGCAAACAAGTATGAGAGAAACCTACCACAGAGTAATTTTTAGCTCATGGTAAAATGCCCCCAGGAAAGATAAGATGGGTGAGAACTTGATTTGTGGACACTTAACCTCCTTGCCTTTGCCAAGACACAAGCGTTTTTGGGGAAATGTCCAGAAGTGAAATTTTTGGTGCTGTGAGACTTGAATATAAAAAACCACAAATATTTACAGATATTAGAAGCAACAAGAAGGTTTTTAGAAACTCCGCTTTGCCCAATTTGCTTTTCACATACCTGCATCCTCCTGTGGATTTGTGTCTTACTTGTGTTTATAATTACTGTAACTAACTACAATACTCTTATGAAATAGAGAAGCGATCCCCAGAGAGGATGAAAAACTGCAGTCCAGCTAAGAAAACTTTGCTATTCTTATTTTATAAAAGATACTTAGGTCAGACGAGCTACAGAAGCAATCTGTAGCAGTTTACAATTGTTACCACCACACACCACCCATTCTTCTTTGCCAAAGACTACCACCAGCTACTTAAGTCACAGAGGCTGCTTTCTCTTATGACTGCCTGTCCACAGCCTAATCATCCATTGGTTGAAGTATGGTTGCTTCTCATCAAGGAAATAGATCATATTTTTGTCCCCATTAGAACATGTCATGAAACCAAAGCCACTGAGAAAGCGTTTCAAAGCCACTGTAGACAGGGCAAAGATTCAATACTTTCAGTATACACATTAATTCTTGAAACTATGCACCAATATGAGTTAAAAAATTGTTAGAATCAGTCAATAAGTCAAAGCTGGAAACAGCTAGAAAATAACCTCAATTTACAAAATTATATATCCAGCTGCAGGCATTTCACAGCTTAACCAAATCACAGAAAATAAAGAAACAATGATTATGATACACCTACACATTCACTTAGATCCCCTGGATTTAACCAGGAAAAATGTTTTCACTTCGGGTAAATTGTGCTATACTAGAGATTGGACTGAGCTAATGTGTTTTCTTCTAATCTTAAAATCTGTTAATCTTAAACCACTTTGAATGTACCTCTTAGGACTACTCTTTGGACTGGGATTCAGTGACCAGTGTAGTGTGGGATTCAGGCTTTCACATGTGAAAAATAGAAATAATTCTGTGAAGATCAACAATGTAAATAAGATAATAAAAGTCTAAAATATTTGTTTATTAATGTTCCCATATATAATGAACCTGCAAAGAGTTTAGCAGAGGACTACCAAGATGATTAAGGGCTGGAGCACTTGCCCTATGAGGACAGGCTAATGTTTGCTCAGCTTGGAGAACAGATGCCTTCAGCAGAACCTAATAGTAGCCTGCTTGTACCTACAAGGAGGTCACTAAGAAAACACAGCAGTTTGAGAGCTCATTGAGTAAACAGGCTCTTCACAGTGGTGTCTGGTGGGAGGATGTACATAAGTTGAAATGGGGGGTTCAGACTGGATATAACGAAAAACTCTCTCACTGTGAGAACAGTCAGCAGGTTGCCCAAAGAGGATGTGCAGTCTCCATCCTTGGAGTTTTTCAAGACCTGACTGGATAAGCCCTGAGCAACCTGGTCTGATCTCGTGGCTGACCCTGCCTTGAGCAGGACATTGGACTAGGTTACTTCCTGAGGTTCCTTCCAATTTGAAGTATTCTGTGGTCTATGATTGTATGATAAAATAAACATCCAAGCAAATTTGCTTTTTTGATAAATCAGTAATTTATATTGTTTTCAGAGTCTGGACTGACTATGAAGAAGGCTTTGGAAATTTTGTTTTGACAAATGGTGAATATTGGCTTGGAAATAAAAATCTTCATTATTTGACTAATCAAGGTAAGATTTGTATTGTAACAACAGTCTTGTATTGTTTCTGTTTCTTTGCTCTTTCTGGGCTATTTTTTGTTGCCCTTTTTGTTAGCATAAATCCTGAGTTCTGTTGTTAGTCTGCATGGACTTCTCCAAGTTTCAGAACAAACCACATTTGAATATATGTTTTCTAACAAGAGGTTCAAAACTGTCTTTGGGCCAACGGCATGCAGGGAGCCCCTGCAAAACAAGGAACAGTAGACAGGAGTATACCTTAAAATAATTGTCTCTACCCATTTCACAGTCAGTATCCCTAAAAGTCTGGAGTCAGGTAGTATGCTGTACCAATTCATTTTGTCAGGGCTTCACATGGCTGCGTAGGCTATTACATAAAGGTAAATCTAGGCCTGACCTCTTGATTAGGCTTGTCTTAGAAAGCTATTTCCATCTTTCTAATAGTCACTCAACCTAAGATAACTTCTGCTTTGCTGTACAATGCTGCATATACGAACCTTACCCATTGACTTAGCCAAATAATTAATATGGAAATTAATGCCACCAGGATGTGGTCCTAGGTTAACTCTTTTATCTTCAGAGTATAAAAAACTAATTTTCTCAGGTGTACGCTTACTGATTGATTCTCACTATCCTTTCGTTACCATCTCAAATACCTTACTAAAATATAAAGCCCATAAGGCCATTTTTTTTAGATGTTTTTTGTCTACATTTGAAAATCTGTACTGGAATAATTCTAAAATTTTCTAAGCTTGTAGTGGGTTAACCCTGGCTGGATGCCAGGTGCCCACCAAAGCTGCTCTATCACTCCCCTCCTCAGCTGGACAGGGGAGAGAAAATATGACGGAAGGCTCATGGGTTGAGATAAGGGCAGGGAGAGATCATTCACCAATTACTGTCATAGGCAAAATAGACTCGACTTGGGGAAAATTAATTTAATTTATTACCAATCAAATCAGAGTAAGGTAATGAGAAAATAAAAACTAAATCTTAAAACACCTTCCCCCCACCCCTCTCTTCTTCCCGGGCTTAACTTCTGATTTTCTCTACCTCGTCCCCCCAAGTGGTGCAGGGGGATGGGGAATGGGGGTTGCAGTCAGTTCGTCATGCGTTGTCTCTGCTGCTCCTTCCTGCTTGGGGGGAGGACTCCTCACACTCTTCCCCTGCTCCAGCGTGGGATCCCTCCCATGGGAGACAGCCCTCCACGAACTTCTCCAACGTGAGTCCTTCCCACGGGCTACAGTTCTTCATGAACTGCTCCAGTGTGGGTCCCCCACGGGGTCACAAGTCCTGCTTGCAAATCTGCTCCAGCGTGGGCTCCTCTCTCCACAGATCCACAGGTCCTGCCAGGAGCCTGCTCCAGGGCAGGCTTCCCATGGGGTCACAGCCTCTTTGGGCACATCCACCTGCTTCAGCGTGGGGTCCTCCCCGGGCTGCAGGTGGAGATCTGCTCCACCGTTAACCTCCATGGGCTGCAGGGGCACAGCCTGCCTCACCATGGTCTGCACCACGGGCTGCAGGGGAATCTCTGCTCCAGCACCTGGAGCACCTCTTCCCCCTCCTTCTTCACTGACCTTGGTGTCTGCAGGGTTGTCCCTCTCACATATTCTCACTCCTCTCTCCAGCTGCAATTGTGCAGGTGTTTTTCCCCCTTCTTAGATATGTTATCACAGAGGTGCTACCACCGTCACTGATTGGCTTGCCCTTGGCCAGCGGCAGGTCTATCTTGGAGCTGGCTGGCACTGGCTCTATCGGACATAGGGGAAGCTTCTGGCAGCTTCTCACAGAATTCACCCCTGTAGCCCCCCTGCTACCAAAACCTTGCCACGCAAAGCCAATACAAAGCTGAATCAGGTGAATAAAGACATAGAATGGCAAGATATGCATGCTTTAATATGCATAAAGAAGATAAAAAAATATGCTGTGATGATACAGATAAGATTAATGATAAAAACATAATTAGCATTGTAATCTTTTACTATATAATACTCTGTTCTGAAAAGTAGTGAGATAGGCTAGTTTAACCAAAATAATTTGTGTTATTATTTCTTAAGGGAACTATACTTTAAGAATTGATCTAACTGATTTTGAAGGAGAACGGCGCTTTGCACAATATGCAAGATTTGGAGTTGCAGGTGAAGAGGTAATAAATATCAAATAATGACTAGAGATTTTAATGAAAATGTGGATTCTGTAGACAGAAAATAAACATACAGGTTCCTTGATTTTCATAAAGGTTTGTGTAGAACCTTATTATTATATTTCCTTTCTTAGAAATGCTTGGAATTTTCAAATATGTAATAATAATGGTTTGCATTGATACATCGATTTCACACTTTCTGTAAGATGTATGAATCATTTCGTTTAGCAGCCATGGATAAAAGCAGTTTTTCTATTTTTGTTGATATTACCAACAATAATGGTACATGATGTTCTGATTTGTTAATATATATACTGCAAACTAACTCTGATATTGTTTTTATTATGTCATCTATACATAAGGTTATTGACAAATTTTACCCCGGTAAGCATCTTTACACCCCTTCATTATCTAGTACACAGTGTTTAAGAGGCATGACATTTCTGAGCACAAAAATAGTAGCAAATGTAACAGATTAGTTTCCTCTTTGTGGTTTCACTCTCTGACATGCTAAAGGTTAAAGACATTGGATTACTTTTTTTTTTTTTCCCCTTTCTTCACATTTTTCATGAGCATTCTTATGAGATGCACTGTGGTGAATACTCTGGCACAGCTGGTGATTCCCTTACTGGCGGATTTCATCCTGAAGTAAAATGGTGGGCTGATCATCGAGGAATGAAATTCAGTACTAGAGACAGGGACAATGACAACTATGAAGGGAACTGTGCTGAAGAGGAGAAGGCTGGCTGGTGGTTTAACAGGTATGTTGATTTTCTATCAGTATTGTCAACTATTCTGCTTCATGTGTATTTATACAATAATAACATATGGTAGAAGATAGGATTGGCATTGTTTATTACATTTGCAATCTGCCCTTGACCCCTACCAGAGATCTCAGTGCTGGTAAGACTGAGACTCACCTTAGAAGGGACGGCACCTACCGCACAGCTCAAGCTGGTCTGTGATAATGGTATTTGCCATAGGCTTTGGTCGTCTTTGTTATCAGAATGTAAGGAGAAGATAATTCTGCCCCTTTAAGGTAACCAGTTTTTACACAAGTAGGTCATGTATAGTTTGCAGATGTATCGGTGTTGTACTTCGTTCTTGCATTTCTCCTAGACCAGATGTGGCAGTACTGCAGAATATCTGACAAGTTAAGCTAGTGCCAGGTTATTAAGCCTCGCTTTTTTCATCTCAGTTCACAGCATCTCACTCTTGTTATTCCTTCTATATCAAGATCGGAATGCGTCCACTCAGTTTCTGTCAGTGAGCACGGCTGGACTGAGAGGAAGATTTTTTTAAATATGGTTCAGTAAAAGAATTTTAAAATCCTACCTACATACAAAATAGCAATTCAAAAAGAAAGGATAAAACTGGTAACCTTAGCACTGTCTGTATAGGCAGCAGTGTTGTTTCCCTTAATTAATTAGATAAATATAGCCTTGAAGAGAAACTATGCAATCTAGCTGTGTAATAGAGAGGTTTAAAATAGAACTCAGGGAAGCATGCTACTTTCTCACTGTGATCTTAGTTCACTTGGCAAGAGCTGCCAGGCTGGATCAATTCCATTGTTTCTCTCCGTTGTGTCATCCTTTGTCTCTGTTTTTTAACTCCTCATTTTCCAAATTCTATTTCCATAAGTAGTCTGTGACCAACTTAGCTGATATGATGTAGCTATTAACTCAATGTGTCACAATTAATTACTTATTTTAATACATTTTAATATATAGTGGGTCAGCAGAATGTTTGAGACATATGGAAAAAAATCACATGTAGACAAAGTTTTTTCGCAGTTCTCACAAAAGCTAAGATATAAAAGGGAAAGGCAACCATGTTGGAGATTCTTTTCCCATGAAATCAGAACTTTTGTGGATTTAGAGGAATATCTAGACCTCAAGTAGCACAAAACTCTGAGACCATGCCACGGAGTTCATTAAGAGTGAATCACCACTCACTTTTAAGTTAACTGCATACATTGTTTGGCTTTTAACAACTTTTTTTTTTTTTTAATATTGGATTGGTCTGGACAAAAGAATGACCCCTTTGCAAAAGTAGCTGTACGGCAGAACTTGACAGTTATTAATACCTTGTAGTTGGTGCTACATAACTACTAAAGATAGCTGACTCCTACTAGGCTAGTTCCTATTATGGGCTGTGTAGCTGATGCTCTTAAAGTGGCAGTCTATCTGGATAATGAAAATGAGTAACTAATGGTGTTATTTCACTGCCTTGCTGTTGACTTTTTTATGTTAAGCCTAACATAAAACTGAATACTAGAAATGCAAAATACTAGAAAATTTCAGTGTCCTTAAATCCTACCCAAAAGAACAGTACTGACAGAGAAAGGAAAGCACTCAGAACACGTATTTGTCATGCACAGATTAGCAAGCATAGAAGGAATTAGTGCTCTTGGCTGGTTTGTATATTAGCTTCCAGCTATGAAGGAATTCTTTATAGACAGCTCTATGCTATCTAGACTAATGAAATACAGAAACTCCCAGATAATATGAATACCAAGGGATGTGACACAAGTGAGGCCACGTGGAAGTACTTCAGATCTAGTTTAAAGGCACTGGTCTTGCTCCAGCTCAGCACTTGTTATCCTGGACTTCTGCAGAAAATGGCCCCTCTGCATTCTTTTGTAAGCAAGGCTCTAGGAGAGATTTTCAGCTTGGATGCAAATCCACAGAGCTGGGTTCACTCTGGTATTACACCCAGGTCGTAAGTTTTCCTGCATCCAGGGCATTGCAAAGGTCAGTAGGTCCACAACTGGTAAAAGATGAGCTAACAAGTCTAGTTGGACATGAGCTTATTCTCTTCCCAGTTTTAGTTACACCAAGCACAGATGATCACTGGATCTGCTAGGCATCAGATCTCACTAACTCAGGCTTCCTGCCTCACCAGTCATCCTGGAGACAGCACAGCTACATCCATACGGGGCCGTACTGGAGTCAGTAAGTCCAGACAGAATTCAAACAGTTCTTTGGGAACCAGCTCCATCTCTCCACATCTGTCATACAGTTAATATATAATACAGGGAAAATGTCCACAGATAATTAAGAGTTGACTGTGCTTTTGAAACTATGGCAGTGCAGGTTTTTACTTTAAAAATTAGCCTATCAGAAAGAAAGGAGGAACATAAGCTAACTTTAAGGTGTTTATTGACTTGTGAATAATGAATGTTGCTTCAAAATAGCATATCATTAATCACATACCAGTTATTTTTTTAGTGTGTCCAGTTACTTCAGACTGCACTCGGTTACAGAATACTGTATATTTTTGCTATTAGTGCCTCCCAGCACTAATTAAGGCTTGTTACTGGCCCATGTTGCTCTGGACAAAATAATGTTTTGCCTGCTTCCATTGATGGACATAAAAGAAGGGGTTCAGTTGATCTAGATACGTCTTAGCAATTATGAATCTTCTAATGAAATCTGTGTTTTGATTCAAAGTAGACAGAGTGCCTGCTCAATGCAGAATTTGTATGCCTAGAAAGATCATGTCAGCTCTGGTAAAAGTTTTTCATTCTCAAAAACAGTCACTTTTGATATCTACAGTTTATAAGCTTTCAACCAACACATTACCAAAATTTAGGTTAAAAATTGTAAGCAATGAGTAAGCATGCATATATATATATATATATATATGTGAATTTTCCTGTGAGGCTTTTATCACAGATTTTATTTCAGTTCTCAAAAACTGTTGTTAATGTAAGTGTAAGCAAAGCCAAAGAGACTAAGATTTGCCAGTAATAATATCCATAAGGGTCATTTGGACTGTTTTCTGTTTGCATATTTTCTGAAGTCTGCTTTTGAAATCCATCATGGTGTTCAACAGCTAGATATTAACAGCGCTTACAACAAAATACTGAATTGGCAGATAAACTGAGCCAATTCGTTACGATGTGCTGCAGAAGAAACAACCATTTTGCTCTCCATATGGTCACATAATGATCTAAACTTGTTTCTTATAGAAACCAAATGAGTATGAAGGTTGTGCTGGTACCTATTCAAGCCTTTTGGGTTTTTCTAGGGGGTTTGTTTGTTTGTTTGTTTTAACCACTGTATTTAATAAACTGTAACAGCACTTCTGCTTCAGTGTGTTAAAGAACCAAAAAAAAGAATGTACTTTGTATAGTCAAATAAAATGCCAGCTCCAATGATCCAGTAAACTGGTATACGTATGTTTAATTAGCTGTCAGATGTAATCTATTTGTAAATAGAAGTCCACAGCTGAATAGGCAAACTGATGGTGCTGTTCAGGTTTTGTCATACGATGGACACGTGAGGTAACTGCAAAACTCATGAGGGGCTACTCAGGAACAACAAAAAGCAGCACAGTATTTCTTTCCCAGAGTTTTGCTTGGTGTATGGCCTGCTGCCACACATGACCTGAACAACTCTGGAATAATTCTCCACTGAAACAGATTAGCAGGTAAAGCTCAGAGAGCTAGCAGAGTCAGAACACGTGTGGAGAGAACAAGAAGAACTTTTGTTTCAAAGAAGCTAAGAGCAGTTGTGCCCTAATTAAACTGTTGTTGTTTAGGCGCACTGAAGTCCACAAATGCAAGTTTTTGCAGCTGTCAAACTGCGCTGTTAGCAACATGGCGAAATTTTTGACTCGCTCAGAAACTACAAATGCTTGCAACTTTTCGACAGGAGGGCTTATTTCTGTTTTCCTTTACTTTTCCACCAGGTGTCACTCGGCCAACTTGAACGGTTTGTACTACAAAGGCCCCTATACTGCAAAGACAGACAACGGGATTGTTTGGTACACTTGGCATGGGTGGTGGTATTCTCTGAAATCCGTTGTCATGAAGGTCAGACCAGCAGACTTTGAACCTAATGTTGTTTAAGTATTTTATTAAGACGATTTATCAGTTAATCTTTTAGCAAATCAATCCAAATTGAAACAGGTGGGCAGATTTTTGCTTCTCATCTATGCATATATAAATCCGCAGAGAATAATTCCTCTGCAACCAGTAGTTTTATGAGATGTAAATGAGAAGACAATCTGGCCTATGAATCTGTAGATACAAATAGTAGTGCTAATATGTGTACAGGATTTTTTTAACAAGGCGGGCGTTCACCTAGGAATAAGACCATCTTCATTAACATGGAGAATTTTTGGCTTCTGCAGTAACTACAACTTCTTTCACCTTTTAAAGAAACAGTATTGTCACTGTGTTGTCTCAAAAATGAAAATGAATTGTACATATTACAACCAAACAACTATTTAAATACAGGTGTAAGTCTGGTTTACTCAGTGGATGGAACATCCTTTCTTTGGAATGATTCAAGGCTTTAGAAGTGAGTTGCCTGTAAATTCCTCTGATTTATTTGTTGCCTGTGTTGTGTACATAGCATACATAAAAAGTATACAGAATGAGGAGAGAACTGAAGGAAGAGAAGGGATGCTACCAGGCTAGAATCAACTGAATCTGGCATACAGAAGTGGATTGTCTGTTATTGCTGAGGCATTTCTAGGGCTGGTCACATCATTTCAATCTAACATTTTTAGATGGTCAGTAATTACGCCTTGCTTCTTTTTTGGTAACCATTATGCCTTTCTTTTTTTTTTTTTTTTTTGTAACATTTGGTAACAAAATCTGGACTTTAATGTATTGACATTTGGAGTTTATCAAAAGGCTAAGTAACAAAAGCTGCAGCTAATTTTAATCTGAGCTACACTTTGAACATAGACTATCATGGGAAGCGTATTTCATGTGCAACTAAGATCTGGAATTTTAGAGGTTCTTAGTGCTTGACTATATAAATCTTTACTTTCTTTACGTATCTGTTAGTCTCCACAGCTCTTCAAATTCAAATGCTCTGTTCAGTCACTTCAAAGTGGTTCTGCTTCTAAGCCTATTACCTTCTCCTTTTCCTATGTCCTTGTCTTGACTCCCTGAGCTTTCCCCCTTCTCAAGCTACAGATGCACAAGAAAAATGGTAACACAGACTCTGCCTACCCCTGGCTTTTGTGCCTAGCACCTCAATAGACTCTAATAGCCAGTAATAACAAGAATCGCTGGTTAGTGCTTGCTGCCATGGAGAAGATAGGAACACGCTCTAGAAAGCTACCTGATGAAATGTAATCCATTTCTGCTGAGCAGATGCAAACGAAGATTTTAAAAAATACATGGATCTGAGCCAAACTTGGGGACTTTTATTTCCCTGCTTTCCTAAAATAATTTTGCTTTTGTGATTGGTCTGCCAGTCTCTCTCCCTCTGTCCAAATACAGTTTTTGAACCTGGCAGCCAGTTTCAGTCAAGTTAACATAATTGAAACTAACTTTTGGCAATCTCTCAATCAATTTATAACTAGATTGATATGAATACAGGTCAGCTGAATGATAACTTTTTCCTTCCGTTTCCATCTTCCAAAACCAGAAGTTTGGCAAGAATCCTTGAAAGAATTATATGGAATAAGGGAGAGAAGATATGTAGAATAACTGGGGGGGGGGAAAGAGAGGTTCATATGAAACAATCTCACTTAATAAGATCAATCAGATTATACCTAAACAAAAAAAGGGGATTAAATAGAGAAAAAATGGGGTTCAGGCAGCTAAAAAGAACGTTAGCATGTAAAAATGGTGCTGATAAAAATCTGCAGGTTTTGAGGTCTGTGCTTTTTGTGGTAATAGCAGGTATTCTAGATAATCCAATCTTTTTCGTGATGTATCAGTAAATACCCTGCTAGCAATTTCTAGCCTTTAGCACATCCCTGTACCCCTGCATGAGAGGACCAATGGATAGCTCTACAGCTGCTTATTCAGAACCTTGTTTAATCAGTTAAACCAAATTAAATTCTGTATCTGACAGGAAGGCATACCAGCCTATGTATGTGTGTGTATGTATATATGTATATACTTATATATATATGTTCAGCATTCAACATTAAAACAAAATATCTGATATGTATTTTTATCCGATTTTGTTACAGAATTTAAAATGGGTTCCTGTGTAACTCTATGAGCAGGTTTGTAGGTATGCGTCATTAATAATACGATGGAAGTTTTGGAGTAGTTTAAAAAGATGTTCTAAGTACAGTATTTCCCATCACAATTTTCAAATTCTTTTGCTACTCTAAGAGGAGAAGGATTTAATTATTTGTAAAAACATGGATGACATTATGTAAAAATTGTAAAAACACACTTAGTTTTTCACAGGAAAATGGAAAGAATAGCTCATGTATCTGGAGAGAATCAAGACCGATCATATTCCACATAATTTAAATAAAAGACATGGAGGATTTAAGTACAAAAAAGTTGGGTCTCTAGCACACAAAAAAGACTCTTAACATGTACAGATTGTGTTCATAAAATCTGCAGTAATTTTTTTGTTTGCTGCAACATAAATCCATCCTCTTTACTTATGAGAACGCTAATGAAATCTTTTAGCTGAGTTAGGGTGCTTTTGTCGTTATTGTAATGTAAAATTTGACTCCCTTTCTCTATTGGAAATCATAAAATGAAGGAGGATCAAATCTTTCTGTGTACATCTTAAAATGTATTTATATGTTTATTTGGACTGAATGCTCTTCAGAACAAGGACTTTGATATCCTAGCTGTCTGAAAAGCATCTAGCATACTGCTAGCAATATGCAAATACAGTATTTAATACCCACCATCTTTCTATGGTGTTTCTTTGTGTAATAAATCTTTTGGGCCACATGAAAAACATGTGGAACTGTTGTAATACAAAATGGTCATATAATTGTTCTCAAATAAGCAAACTCTTTATTTTCAAAAGGGAAGTTTCAATAGCTACCAGACAAGAGGGTACATTTTGGAAGAGAATCTTTTTCTCTGCCTGGCTTGCCTGTTCATATTCATTTATTTACTCAACAGGTATGAACATGTCTTAAGGTAGTCTTTATTCTTACAAGATAGCAGAACAAAGGCCAGTTTATTTTTTCAGGCATTAGACAGAACAACATAACTCCCACATGGCTGAAAATGAATACATACCATTCGATACAAATTATATAGCCCAACAGAAGAAGAATAAGAATCAAGGAAATAACAAGGAAAATGTTTTGTCAGGCATGATTTAATAAAGAACATGATGATAGATAGCTACCAGCAGCGTGTAATCAAAAAATGCATCTTTTTGTAGTATTTGTTCAAGGGAAACACCTTTATATTTTCAGTTGTCTATTTCTGTTTTCTCCCATTTGCTAAACATTTTGGAGATTAAAAGAATGGGAACCACAAGCCCAGGTGAATTAAATGAGCAGTAAAAGAGCCTTATATGCTACATTTGTTTTCCCCAGAATGTCTAGTATGCATTGACAGAGCTGAGGTACTGCAATCTGGCCTACTGCTTTCTGGTGGAGACTCTTCAGCTCTACTGCCTAGCTAGAGCCTACCTCTTCCCACCATTCCCAAAACTGTTCCTCCTGACATCAATTCCTGAACCCCTTTTGTAAGTATAACATTTTGTTCTGTCAAAGCTACTTCTCTTCACCGTTAGCAACATGGTATACCCAGAAAGGAGAATTGAACCACAGCTTGCCAGGTCTGTGAACATTCCTATCATGTTCCTTTAGATGACTCCTCATTAGCTAAAAAGAATGAAAATGCAGTTTTTTCTTCAGTAGCAGGTTCTCCTTAGCAGTTGTAAAAGAGGTAGAAAGAGCAGAAAAAGTATCCAGGGAAGTATTCTGTATCTAAATTTTCAAAGATTTCCAGTTATTTGTCTTGTTTTTTTTAAATTGTCTATTAAGAGGTCAGCTTAGAAAGCAAAAACCAGCGCTATTCAAAACCAGGAGGTACTTTGAAATTAATATGAGCATATGCTTGCTGTTTTCTCAGAGTAGGTCTGAGAATTGGGAAATCAGCAAGGTTTTAAGCATTCAGCCAAAACCCATATGCAATGTATGCACAGAGAGAGAAAAGTTAATCATTTTCTGTTAAAGTGCTTGTTCAAAGAGAATGTAAAACTTTACAGTGATAGTGGCTCTTTGATGCTTAATTAGTTTTTTGTTGAATACATAGCATTCATCCTAAAATCATCTTTTCCAAGTACCCGAGGGCCATCTGAACCTTTGTTTAGTGCAGGATGAAATCCAGCTTGTTGTTGCTACATCTCCAGTTAACTTAAGACAGTTCCTCTTAATCCTACCCTAATGCTAAATAGATGGCATCAGAAACATAATGTTGATATCTAAACATTGATTAAACAACCCTGAGGCCAAATTCATATGTTTGTTTGCTTGCAGAAGAACCAAAATACGGCCTTTGCAAAAAAAAATCCCTGTAGCTCACTTTTTTCTGTCCTTCCTCAGCAACTTGTAAATACCTGTGTGTAAGTTTCTTTTGCCTGTCTCCTATAGAATCTAAGCTTCCTTCCTTTCTTCTTTTCTACCCTTCTTAATGACAGTCAGATCTTTAAGCTTGCCTGCTAGTCAGTTGTGGTTTGGGTACCTGTGAACACCTGGCTTAAGGAGCCTGGGTAGCTCTGCGGTTCTGCAGAAGCTGAGCAAAGGCTCTGAGCAGCCAAATGGTGTACTTAAGGCACCTAAAACAGCAGCTGGGTCTCTAAATCTATTGTGAGAATCAGTGTCCAACCTAGTTTATAAACAGATTGGATTGAATTATTTAATGAATGTATCACGCAACACTGTGGGCAGGAAGATGAGCAGATTCCTCTTAAAAGTATATGGTTCTCACAACTTGAATTTCAGTGCATCCAGCTTGTTTGTCCTTGCAAAGGGTCCCAAGTAATTTTCAATCCATGGTCTCCCATGTAATTGCAAAATTATATTGCCACAGGAGCCACTGGGCTGGCACTTTCTGCAACATGATAGTTCATATTAAATTAGCTAAACACAGACAAGTGACATATGAGAAGAAAGGCTTTTATGTTAGTGATATCCTGCACTAGATGGTGCTCTGTACATGTATCTTCTTAGGCAATACCAGATTTGTAAACTAGTACAAACGTTTCTCCTGATTCAGTTAATTATTAAATGATAGAAAACAAGTAAAAAATGATTTTAGTCCTTAACTCACTTTTGAAGTCATACATGAGTTCCTAAGGTTACCTAAACCGTATGGAAATTCACAGCATCTAATTATTTTGAGGTATGGCACATTTCAGCAGTTAAATTGTGGTCTCTTTAATTTAAAAAGCCTTGCATTATAACAGTAGTTTGTATCTTCTGCTGATTAGCAAACAGAAACAAAACTCTGCAAGTTCCAAACACTACCTGAACTAACATATCTGCACTACTGTA